ATATGTTAGTTGGTGTCAACTATACATCTAGTCTTTTGTTAATTGTTTATAGGTCATGTTAGTTTGTGTAAATAATACGTCTGTTCTTCATGGTTTTGTTAATCGATGATTTTTTATTTATTTATGTTTTTGTTGTTGTTTAGAAGTCAAAGATTCATAAATTGACATAGAATAAAGGACGGATGTCTGATTGACATTGTCAAATGAGTTGTTATTTTGATTCGTTCTTCTAAACTGTAAGTATATCTTCTAACTATTTTAATACGAAATTGTAAGTATATCTCCTAACTATTTTAACGGTTATTATTTGGTTGAATGATTGTTTTTGTTCGGTCAATCTATTTGAATGATTAATTGTTTTAATCCTGTCGAATGGTAAGTGTATTCCTTAACAATTTTAATATGAAGATTAATTAACTTTTGTTGATTTAGTTTTCAGGTAACAATTATTATACGAATGAATAGTTGTTCCTTAACAATTTTAACATAAAGATCGATTAAATTTTGTTATATTTGTTTTCAAGGAAACATTCATGTACTTTACTAAGATCAAATCGAGGATGATCCTATTGTCAGCCGAACTATGAGTATGTGTCATATGTATATTAGTAGAAACATTTTATTTGTATTGAATATGTTTTCTGTAAAAACATTCGTATATTTTAATTTGTTATATAAATGATTAATTGTTTATGTCCTGCTGATGTGCGAGTATATATGTTAAATGAATTAATTTTGGTGTTATTTGAAATATTTCTTATCAATCCTAATATGATAATCCCTTAAATTTGGGTCAAGTAAACCATTCATATTATTATCACATGTATTTCGGTTTCCACTGAACAATCAGTAGTAAATTGACCATAACTTGCTCAATAAAAATCCAATTGAAGGGAGGATTGAATCTCTAAAAACTAGACAGATAGTGCTTTAATTTGATAGATTATACATTTAATTTGGATAACTGTAGCCCCACTGCCGAACCATTCATTTTATCATCACACACATATTTCGGCTTCCATTGAACAGTCAGTAGTAAATTGACCATAACTTCCTCAATAAAAATCCAAGGTTTGCATTTTTAGAAACTAGATAGAAAGATTTTAAATTGATATATTATACACTTAATTTGGATAACTGTAACCCCACTGCCGAACCATTCCTTTTATTATCACACCCATTTTGGTTTCCCCTATTTCTCAATTTCCACTGAATAGTCAGTAGTAAATTAACCATAACTTGCTCAATAAAAAATCAATTGATGAGCGGTTTGAATCTTTGAAAACTAGACAGATAGAGATTTAATTTGGTATATATACGCTTAATTTAGATAACTATAGCCCCACTGCCGAACCATTCCTTTTATCAATACACATTTCGGTTTCCACTAAACAGTCAGTAGTAAATCAACTATAACTTACTCAATAAAACTCCAATTGATGAGAGGTTTGAATACTTAAAAACTAGACAGATAGATCTTTAATTTGATATATTATACGCTTAATTTGGATAAATGTAACCCCACTTCTGAACCATTTCTTTTATGATCACACACATTTCGGTTTCCCCTGTTTCTTGATTTCCATTGACTAATCAGTAGTAAATTGGTCACAACTTACTCAATAAAAATCGAATTGATGAGCAGTTTGAATCTTTGGAAACTAGAAAGATAGAGCTTTAATTTGATATATTATATGATGAATTTGAATAACTATAGACTTGCGACCGAACCATTCATTGTATTATCACATAAATAAAACCAATTCAATTTTAGTGATAACAAAGGAAAACAAATATTGATATGCAGTTTTAATTGTATTTGTTCTATATTTTATTATTGATATTTTTTTATGTTACATACATATATCGAAAACAGGTTGTTGTTGAATATAACACATTTTATTTGTATCACAAATATCATCTGATGTTTGTTACCGAACCATGTAGCTTTAATAAACAATTTATAATATGCCGAACCATTATTATTATCCTTAAAGGAAAACAAATATTGATATGTAGTTTCAATTGGAATTGTTCTATCTCTTTTTGTTGATATCTTTTTATGTTACATACATATATCATGAAAAGAGGTTGTTGTTGAATATAACTATTAATTTATTTAACAAATATCAACTGATGTTTGATGCTGAACTATATAGCTTTAGTAAACTATTCATTTTATCATCACACACATTTATGTTTCCACTGAACAATCAGTAGTAAATTGACCATAACTTGCTTAATAAAACTCCAATTGATGAGAGATTTGAATATTTAGAAACTAGATAGACATGACTTTAATTTGATATATTATACGCTGAATTTGGATAATTGTAGCCCCACTGTCAAACAATTCCTTTTATCATCACACACGATTGATCTTGATAATATTCATGTGATCTTAAATATCATACACGATTCACTACAAAATACTGACATCGACTATCAAAGACATGCCTGCAAAAATAATATCAATTGTACAAGGTGATAATTCTGAAAATATAATTAGACCATATAATATTCAGGTGATCTTCTTAAATCGGATGAATAATTTAATGACATCTATCTATAATTGATATTAATAATTATACAGGTACAATTATTAATTATATTGTAACACAACTTTGTATATATATAAAATTTATATTTACTTTAAAATTTGTATAATTTAACAATTATTATGTCTTAATCTAATTAATCTATTTTATTAGAGTATACCCGCACAATGCGCGAGTCCCATGTAAGTCTGAACTACAAAATTATAAAGAATGATTCAATTCAACTTAAAAAAGAAACATTTCAAACAGAGAATATTGTAAAATAAGAAAGGGAAAATGAGTTTTAGAGTAAATGATCACTTATGATAAACTTTATTTCAAAACAATGACAAGAAAAAGAAACGTATTATTATGCATAAGAAATTATCAAAATTTTGTATTTTTGTATCCTTTTAATTCGTAGAAAATTATTTCTTGTGAAGAAAATCAAAATTTGATATAGAAGATATACCTCAATTCCATTCATCAGAGGCATTTTACAAGTCCATGAGATGAATCAGCCTATACAATCAGGGAACGGATAATATTTTAGTTAAGAATATAAAGCAACAACGATATGGTAAACATATATACATTGACAATTTATATACATGTTAGTTTATAGCCATATGAGATGCTATCAAATTCAGAGCAATTTGGAAGAATTATTATACAATGGGATATAAATAAACCAAGTGTAAAATCGTCTAAACGAAACAAAGTTATACTTGACCTGATTGTTGGTGTGCCCTCAAAATATTTGAAAGATTGACTTACTAAAATCCTTCAAGGTTGGAAGGTATATAGATGCAATTAATGAAGATATGTCTCCAAAACTCTGATCCTTCTTCAAAGTTTGATGCTGGATCTAATACTCTTATGTAAATATAAAAGGCTTTTATTGAACCAAAGCATTTTACAAAAATATTCAATGAATATTAGTTTTATTTCTTAATTTTAGTTCAATGAATATTAATAAACATTGTAGGGTTTTTTTGTTTTTTATTAGTGTAATATAAAAGGAATAAACTTCCCCATCGTTACTCCTTTAATATATTTTTTTTTGTTAGGACTCTTAAGTCTTAAAAACACCTTAAAAAGGTTATGAATAATACACCAATTTTTCTAATCATATTTATCTCATAAAATTACAGCTTTTTGGAGAGTGGGCGCTAGAATACTTACAGCATTTTTAATAGAAAGCTAGCTATTAATATAATGTTATGAAAAATATTTCTTGTTAAAGCTGGTTAAGGTTGATTTTTATTAGAATTGTGTCGACGACAACCATTAATACACAAATAAATAACGTCATTTATGTTACATTTAATCTTATTTTTTATAAACAAATACAAAGAGTTAAGTTATACCGTTTCACAACTTAAAATCTTTACACAATCCTTTAACCATTGATGTATTACAAATTCGACTTGATTAAAGTTGGTTCAGGTCGATTTTTATTGACAAATATAACATGTTTATAAATATTGTCTTGTTTAGATTGAAGTAGGTCATATTAAATATGTGAGACTAAATAATATAGCACTTTAAAATGATAATGTATTTTAGATTTTATTTTAAGTTTTTTCGTTAAGACAGAAGTCTAGGGGTGTTCAAAAGAACCGATTAGAATCGGAACCGACGGGTACCCGAGGTTTGGTTCTGGTTCCTACCTTGAACCTGTAATGAACGGGTAGGTTTCGGTTCCAAATTTTTGGAACCGTCATTGTGTGGTTTCGGTTTTTATCGTCAGGAACCAGAACCGGGAACTGAGACTAATATAAAATAAAATTAAAGAGTGGGGGGTTAGTAAAATTTTTTGCAGAAAAAGTAATGTGAATACATTTATATTTATATTTTATAACATTTAAAGTAAGTTGGTTTGACTTTTGAGAATCTATCTTTACAAAGTAATGGAGTTTGTAATTTTGAATTTGTAATTTTGTTTTTGTTAACAAGTGTTAGGTGGGGGCGTATTTGTAAGTTTTTAAGAGTTTTTTGCCATTTTAAAAACTTTTAGGGGGTAATTATAATTTTATAGGATACTCGGAACCGAAACCAGAATCGTTGTTATAGGTTCTGGTTCTAGATACCCAGGAACCAGAATCGTCGGTTCCGGTTCCGGTTCTGGTTCTGGTTCTGGTTTTGGTTCCTTCAAAAAATACAGAATACCCGGAACCGAACACCCCTGGACAGAACCCTAACATTCTTGTTTTTGAAGAGCTGAAAATGAGTATATTACAGAATTTAAAATAAAAATTAAAAAAAAAAAAAAAAAAAAACCCTTCTACAATCCTCGGGATAATATTAGTTTCGTCCTTAGGGTTTGGTATAAATAACTTTAGTCCTATAGGATTTTTTTTTTTGGCCCCTATACTATTATCCTAATACTAATAGGGATTAAAACGTTAATATAAAACAATATAAGACCAAATTGTTCCCCTAAAATCCCAAATTCTTACGTTTTTAAATCAATTTCTAAAAGCTCCAACGGGTCATCATCGCCGGCCAGCACCATTTCCTCACCTTGCGGACTCGCCGCCGCCGGAACTAAACGTAGCATTGCCAACAGTCGACCTCGAACTCCGGGAAGCAGTCAAATTCACCGGAAAAAATGTAATTTTTTTTTTGGCATGCTTTAATTTCCAAATATTTCTTTGTAAAGCTTAAATTCTAAATGGTAAAGATTGTTTTATTATTTTATTATTTCTGTGTTGTGAACTTGCTATTTCAATTTAATGGGATTCGGTCATTTCGGAGACTTAGATTTTTAAAGTCTTATGTTTCCAGTAACCAGCACAGACAATAACTTGAAAATGAGCCGACGCGACATACACTCGGTGTTCTACGCTGAGTCGTACCATCCGATTCAGGCGGGGAGTATTGACGGCACTGATATTCTCCCTCACGACAACGCCGTTTACCGGGCACTTCTCTGCTCCTCTGCGGGCCTCTGTATGTGCTTTTCCTTATTCCATTTTCGCCCTCAAATTTTGCTATTTCAAGGTTTTTTTTTTTTCCTGGTTTAATCTTGTTTTGTTGCAGATGACCCGCTGGGTGACCCGAAGGTCATTGGTGATCCTTATTGTACCGTTTTCATTGGCCGTCTTTCGCACCTCACAACAGAAGACACTGTCCACAAGGTTAGGTTGTATATTTTTTTGATTTGAGTTTATCGTTTGAAAGTTTTACAACGATCTATGTTTCTCTTTATTTATAACAAATTTCATAATCTTAGGGAGAATTTATGAGAGTCTAATAGATATTAGAGGAGGTTTATGTTTAATTTTAGAATTTAATGGGAGTATGTTAAAAGTTTTCGATCTTCAGAATTTCAGTAAAGTTTCCTTTGTATTATTCTAAGTAGTACTGTCTGTTAAATTTAGTTGAAGGTTAGGAAGTGAAGTAAATTAATTTTGTAGATGGTGGTTTCAGGTAATGAGCAAATATGGGCGGATCAAGAACTTACGTTTGGTGAGAGATATTGGTAAATTTGTTTTTGTGAAATTTGTGTTTTGTTGTAAGAGTTAGATCTGGAAGGACGGCATACGAAATTTGTAATTTTTGTGATTGCAGTAACAGGTGCCTCACGTGGTTACGCTTTTGTTGAATATGAAACTGAAAGAGAGATGCGTCGTGCATATGAGGTGCTGAGATTAGTTTTTAATCATTTTTTAGTCTTTGGGAAGCTCTATTTTGGTTCAGATGTACACATTTTATTTTTTGAATTTTTATATTTATGGATTTTTTTTTTCCACTTTTGAACATAAATTATAATAGTAATTCATTTCAGATTTCCTAATGTAAAATTGATTTTTGGATTGCAATTGTGCGTATTTAGACCTTATAGGATTTTAAATGGTAAGTGAGAAGTTTATGTGTATAGGTCTCTGTTAAAAAACTTAGAGTAACTACTTTATATATATGTTTTTGATGTGAACATCTGAATATTAAATTGTGTGGTTGCATGAACGCCTGGACACACTTGTCCTGCATGAACATACTTGGACATATTGATCACTTTATGGTGCCTGTGATTTTGTTTTGTACAATGATGTCATCCTGGCGGCTCGGTTAACTGTGGGTGGTTTATATGATATTATAAATAATGCTGTTTGTTGTTATGTCTGGTATGCAGGACGCTCACCATACCACTATTGATGATTGTGTAATTATTGTTGATTATAGTAGACAACAGTTGATGCCGGGTTGGATTCCCAGGAGGTTAGGTTAGTTATTTACTATGATTTATTTTTCTTCTGTAAAGCATAGCATCTATAAAGTTCAATCCTAAAATTTTTCATTCCTTTTCTCCATCAACAGGAGGAGGCCTCGGGGGTAAGAAAGAATCAGGACAGCTTCGTTTTGGAGGACGAGAAAGATCATTTCGCGCTCCTCTGTATGCATTTTAACTTTAATAATTTTTATAGTGGTTGTGCTGGCCTCAATAAATAATACATGGTTTTGAATCATCATCACCAATTTTTATTTTTATTATTTGAGGTACTATGAAGAATGGCTTCAATGTTGCTTTTTTTTCTTTCCTCAAAACTTTTGGGTAAAGGTTCTGGGGTGGGTTTTTTTCTTTGGAGGAATGTGTGGTGGAAACGGAGGGAGGTAGGAAGAATAAAGCATAGATAGATGTTAGAATGGAATTAAGTGTTTATTTGCATCCTCGTGTTATTATCATATGCTATGTGGTTCTCATAATCTTCTGATCTTTTCGTATGCGTGGTGGTTCAGTTGTAAATTTGAGGAATTATGCAAAATGATTATCCATGCGACACAGATTTTTACAGACTTGTTCCTTCTTCACTAAATTGACTACTGGTCATATTCTTTATTTCTTTTCAGATACATTTTGTTTCTGAAAATTGCATGCTTTTCTGTATTTTCTCATCTGATTTTAGACCACTCATAAACCGTTTCTTGATAATCGGATGTCAAGGCTACAGTAAATTAAACAAAATATACAAGAATAGTAATTATGTAATGTCAATTAAACTGTTTATCATCAGTTAGAAAGGTCCTCTGTTTCTGACCCTGGGCTTGATTACTCACCCTGAAGATTGGCTAGGTAGGGTGCAAGTAGTGCTTAATCCCTCAGGATTTGCTTGTTACTCAACCTATATTAACCAACTATACTATGCATAGCTATTTCAATATTAAAATCTTAACGAATTATTAGATTTTTCTTTTGTTTGCTGATTGTTCCTGATTCATCTAGTATAAGAAATAGCTTGAATTTGACCTAAGCTATTCAGATGGATGGCAATAGTTATTTTCATAGTAATCTGCATTCAGCTAAGGCTTGTGCTATTGTTTTCTAGTTACTGATGTCTGATTCAGTAGAACATTTTGTTTAGGTAAATTATTGCTGTAAGCTCAATTTAATTTCTGGTTTTTAATAATATTGTAAAACAGAGTAGGTTCTGCTTTTAGGTTGTCTGAGTAAAAGTCCCCAAAATGGAGAAATAACTATTTAAATTCATTTTTGTTTGGTAGCTATATGGTGGAAAATTATGCACAGGTTTTCAGATATAGTTATTTATTGATTATGTATATATCACCTCTTTACAAAACCAGGCGACCCATCCCATATGATGATTTGAAGAGACTTGGCATTCCTCCTCCACCAGAAGGAAGATATATTCATCGCCTTAAGGTAGTTTATCTTTTACAACTCCCTAAACTGTAGTGTATATAAACTTGCTTGTGCAATGTTATTTGCCAATAAGCATTTCATACTCTTTTCTGTCACGGCACCTGAGACTTTCCAAAATTGGTAGTACTACAAAATATTATGACTTTTTAGATTAGTACCAAATTTCAAATTATCAGTGTGAAATACTCCAATTGAAATATGTTTGCTTTAAAATTTCCGAAATCCGACTATGTAAAATTTATTTTATGAATGAGTTTTCTCTCATGTTCCTACATTTTAGGTTCCATCTCCGCCCAGAAGAAAAAGGAGCTCTGTAGACAAGGAAGAAAGCTCTCTCAAGAGGAGCTCTAAGCACAGTGAAGAACAAGCTCATAGAGGTAGCTCTAGGGAGAGGGAAGATCGACATCATAATAAAAGCTCTGTTGAAAGGAATGACCGCTCTCGCAAAAGAAGTTCAGTGGATAGAGAAGAAAGCTATTATAAAGCTAGTACTGCAGAGAGGGAAGACCAGTATTACCAAAGGAGCTCTAGGGATAGGGAAGATCGCACTCACAAAAGGTTGGTGGATAAGGAAGAAGACTATTATAGAAGAAGCTATGCTGACAAGGAAGATGAAACTAGCAAAAGGAGCTCTAGAGATGGGGAAAAACGCTCCCGCCATCATCATGGTAAACAGGCTTATAATCCTGAGAGTAGGTCCAATAGTCGGGATCACTCTTTTGATCATTGATTTTATTGCATTTTTGTATGTTGTTGCTCATTTTCTGCAGGTTGAAGTTGTGTATAAGCATTTGGGTTGTCTTCAATCTTTCAGGTTCAATCATTCAGTAGGTATGTTTTCAGTCAATAGTTAAGGATAGGCTTCATTTTTTCTAGTTAATAAAAAACAAAAGCAAAGACAGTTTTTGTTAATACGACATCACTTTGTTGAAAACTGGCTCATGAAGAGCAATTGGAAAGGATGGGTTGCAAAAAAAAAGGTTTATAGTTAATTTTTATACTCACTTTTTTATATTTATTTGTACATGTATTCTAGTTTATAGTTCATTTTTAATTTTAAATATTTGAGATGAAAAATATAATAATCAGAAAAAGTAAATTCGTTAGCTTAATTTAATGTTTTGTTGTTGAATGAATGCATTGAAATTTAACTTCAAACAAAAATGGTGATTCAAATTTAATCGAAGAGGTAAAAATAGATGGTGGGGTTAACAAAGAGATCTCGTAATAAAATGAGAGGGGTAATCTTAAAATGAAATTTAATATATCTTTAAATAATATTTTAAAAATATTTATAATCGATGTTGGGGTTTGGAAAGAGATTGAGTGGTGCTTAAACTCAAAAGAATATGGGAGTGATTTTTAGCCTTTGTTTTAAAAACCAGATCGGACTGGCTAGTCGGATCAGGACTCGATAGCTTCTCCTGTCCAGTTTAGGTTTTAGGGGGTTTTTATAATATTTCAAAATTATAAGGGTTAATTGGTTATTTTATAGGGGTGTTTTGGAGATATGTCAAAAGTTTAGGGATTAATTGAATTTGTTTGGGGCATTTTTGAAAAAAAATAAAAATTTTAGGGACTAATTTAAACTTTTTAGGGGAATATTCGTAATATATTAAAATTTAAGGGATTAATATGTAATTTTTTAAAAATAAAATATTCGCTGACGTCATCGATCCAACCAGTTAGACCGATCGACCCGTGACCCAGGTAGCAAAACGGGTTGCCCTCCGATCCAGGTTTTAAAACAATGTTTTTAGCTTAATCTAATTTATCAATATCACCATTGCTAATTATATTTCTATCATATTTAAAAAAAGGAAATTCTCTTTAAACCTCATTTAATACCAAACATAGCCTTACTTAATTAGGTTTAACGAGATTTTTTTGTTTGTACCCATTTTCTCCAATTTCAAACTTAATTAGGTTTGTTGTTTATACCATTTTTCTTCAATTTCAAACTTGATTAGGGTTACCTCTCCTTTTGTGACTGGATGATAAACCTTTTAGCCATTGAAGAGGTATCTACCACATTTATGTAATTATCTTGGTCCATTAAGCTTATAGGGTGTTTCGTGGCCATGAGGATTAGATAGGCTTCAATGTGAGCCTGGATACCTCAGATACCTAAAAAAATAAATTGATTAGGGCTTTTGTTTACACCTTTTTTTTTTTTTTTTTTCCAAATTTCAAATTTACTTTTTCTTCCCCATATTCAGATTCATTGTGTGATTAATATCTCCATAGCTTTATTACTATATTTTCATCAAATAAATAAATATTTGAAATAGGAAAAAGTTTTAATAATTTAGAAAATTTATAATTAGGGTTCATATAAGAATTAATTAAAAATTAAAAAAAATATATAATAGAATATGAGTGTATTTAGAAATTATTATGTAATTTCTAATAATTTTCATTAAGGTTATACTTGTCACAAAAAAAAAAAAAAAAAAAAAGGTGGTAAATGATACTAATCAATTTGATGGGGATCCACTGAATTGAAAATGGGAAGTGATTTTTAGGTCAATTGTGGCAAAAGTAGCTAAGGAGAACAAGTTTATTCTTATCAACTTGGTCATGCAATATCTTTTTAGGAAGCAAATGCCTTATGTTTTGTAAAGCATAACCTTGCTTTCTAAAAAATAATTGTGCCATGACCAAGTTGAACATTCTTGCCTTGTCTTAATTTTACGGGATTAATATTCTTGCCTTGTCTTAGTTTTTCAGTAATAAATTGCATGTGCTTTCTTTATGAAATCTTAATCAACTTAGTCATTTTATGTTTTGTAAAGCATAACCTTGTCATATAAGCAAACAAAACTTCAACTCTAAACAATAATTGTCCCATGCATTGAGTAGGAATATGTGTTGATTAAGATATCTTAAAGAAAGAACATGCAAGTTATTACTGTAAAACTAAGACAAGGCAAGAATATAATGCGTTTGTTTTGGTATTTTGGATAGTATTTTTGATATTTCTAGAGTTGGGTGAAAATAACGAGGTAGGATTTAAAAATTAACAAAAACACCCCTGTAGGTTTGTTAAATAACTGAACACCCCTGTAATAAAAACATTAAAAATTACAAAAACACCCGCACTCACCCATTAAATTCCAGAAGCTGGCCACCACAGCTGAAGGGTGGTCAAAGTATCCGTATCGGCGCACAACTGGCTGGATCTGGCCAGTCGTGCACCGAGATGACCTTTTTTAGCCAGATCCAGTCTGTAAAACCCCTCCCTAGCCAGGTAGTTCTTAAGTATCCATTGGCCATTGAGAACCTAGAAAACACACGCCTAGGAAATAAGTTTATTTTAAAATCCTATTTAAAGAATAGACTTGTATATATATATATATAAATAATTTAATTTATACCTATATCTATATATATATATATATAATTATTATATATTAATTTAATTTATAAACTATAATAAGTTCATTGTACAAGTCAATATAGTTTCTTTCTTGGAGTACATTACGAAATCAATAATAATCCTTACGAGAACATACACACTTTTACAAATTACTAGCAATTTGATTTCCTTTATTAACCAAACATATAACTTCATAATAACATGGACATATTTACTGCATTATGAGATATAAACATAATTACACACTAAATACTAGCAAAACAATTCAATAGTCATAATTAAACATCCCTTCATGCTCATACGTCCCTCGGAATCCTCTCCCAACTTCATGCCTTAATCCTTACCTGCAAACATTTAAAACATTTCAGGGGATGAGCGCTAATTGCTCAGTAAGGAATATGACCATTTATAACTATTAAGGTTCATTATACAGTATATACTTAGGACCTTATCTACCTACAAAACATGACCTTCATTCTTTGACATAACAGTTCATAAAACTATCATACACTTTGGACTTTTCTCATAATATAAGTCACAACATAACATACATAATATAACATAGAACATATATGACTTATGAAATATTCATGTACATGGCATGCTTATTTCTTTTGTCTTTATACTTATGGTTTCATTAGTCTTTGTTATCCGATCGGATTCATTTAAACCTTACCTTGTTCTTAGTTTTCACCTCAAGGACTCATGGTTTCCATAAGAATTCCATTCCTCTGATCTTGTTTATACCTCAAGAGACTCATGGAATTCATTCTTTAACATTTCATAAATTTTTCATAAGACAACTAATAACTATATGCATTACCATTATGAATGTAAACATATGGATTAACATCTCCTATGCTCAATCATACTATATTCTCCTACTAAACTCTTAACTTAATTCATTCAATTTCTCATACAATACAAGGAATTTCAGTAGTAGATTATTAAGGGTTTATTAATTTCCATGAAGAAGGTGGATGCCATATAGTTCGTCACTTTTCAACAGTTTTTCCCTTATCTTCCAATTCGAATGGATTTTTGACTAAAACATAAAAGTTTAGGTCTGTTTCAAAAAGTTTTTAACACTTTAACAACTCATCGGACTTCTATAACTCAGTTATGACTGATTCAGTGAAGCATACAGTGTAAGTCTCAAAAAGCTAAATCCGATTTCTATTCATTTTAACCATGTCACTTTCATTTGCACATTCATATCATTTGCCATGTCATTCTAAGTAATAAAGGCCATAAAAACCTCCCTTTTTACGAACCAAAAAGTGCCAAACAATCGTGTAACACAAATCTCTTAATTGGCATAATCATCCTCCATATGCACACATACAACAATCACACACCCAATTAAACATCCATAACCAAAACATAGCATCACACACATTTAACATAAATAAATGTAAGTTCCATAAACCCTAGGTTGTTCAATTGTAGTCATAAGGGAGATTTTTCCTTACCTTAGTATTCAAAGCACAAGACACTCCTCCTTAGCTCCAACGGTTCACCCTTTCTACCTTATACACATAACCAATTATGAATTTCCCTTTTAACTAAAAGATCAGAACAACTAGGGTTTTGAAACTCACCTTAAACCCTGAAATTGAAGTTCTTTAAGTGGTGATGATGATCTCTTTGAAAATCACTTGAAATCCTATGAAAATTTGAGAATAAAAAGCTTGGATTAGTGGCTTTTATGGTGCTTTTGAGAGATGAAGAAGAAGAAGATATATTTGGGGTGTACAAGCCGACTACTCTTTCTTAAACCATGTAAATATTTATTCCATTGTTACTCTAATGTCATTGGTCTAAAAGTTAGATATAAGGGTCATTTGTATAAATTTTTCATATAAGGGTTTGTTTGGTCATTTCTACCGTAACATAATGATAATCCTTATTAATGCCATTTGACTTCTTTAAAACACTTAAAAATTAAGCAATCCCATTATAAATGATGATTTACCCTTGGTGCCTTTTATGGATGCTTAAATCATATGGATTTGTATGAAAAACCATTATACCATTGGTTACCGTTTACGCCATTTAACCATATCAATAAGCTTTATGACCATTCTACCCTCATTTCTCTTCAATGACATCACCCTTTACACTCTATAATGGCCACATCTTGAATACATGTAATTGACCATTTTACCCTTCCATTTAAAAAAAAGAAATTACTTGAAAGGTAAATTTCATACCTTAGGGCATCGTAAATATAACGCGGGGTTTACACAGTCGTGCACCAAGATGGCATTTTCCAGCTAGATCTACGACTAGATTTTCCATGTTTGGTCGTTAACGACGGTCATATTCCAACCAGATCCACGGCCAGATTTGTCATGTTTGGTCGTCAACGACGGCTAAAGATATGACCATCATTGACGACCAACTACGGCCAAAGATTGCCGTGGATGTGGTCGAAAAATGCCATCTCGGTGCACTACCGGCCAGATCCAACTGGTAGTGTGCCATTATACCAGATTCCGGCCACCTTCCGGCGATGTGGCCAGAATTTGGCAAATGGGGGTGGGTGGGGGTGTTTTTGTCAATTTCTAAACTTTTTTTTTTTTTTTTTGGTGTTTAGTTAAATTAATAAACTTAAAGGGTTTAAAATAGTTGAAGAAAATATAATAGTATTTTCAAAATAGGGAAACAAGCTGATATTTTGGAAATAGTATGAATAGGATAGTGAGAAATATTAAACCAAACAGACAACTTTTGAAAGAACCTTCTCAATAAGAAACAATTATATGACTGAGAGCTTTATCATTTCTCAACAAGTTAATAACATTAATCTCCAGAGGTATTATGTAATAACAAAAATCTTCTTGAGGTTTTAGAAATAACATAAATCTCTTTACCATTAATGAAATGTTAATGTGTCATTAAAATTTACACTATTATGAGTTAATAAATATTATCAAAATGTTCTCATACCGTTTATTTTAATATCTAATAACTAATGACAATAATATTTCTATTATTTCAAAAATCTTATGAGGATTCTTGTTCTTACATCATATCTCAAAAGGATTAATGTAATTAATTTTTTTTTTATTACTTAACTTTTGCACGTTAAGTTAGCATAATTTTATAGATTTAAAATTTTCAAAGAATAAATGATATGTGTTTTGTTTTGTGAAAGCATTACATTGCCATAGAAGTAAAGAAAAGGTTAACCCTTCGGAATAATAATTAGGATGGACAATGGAGTAGGAATATTTGTTGATTTAGATTTCTAATATACGAAGCATAATTTCTTATTGTAAATTAATAATAAGAAAATAATAATTTCAAAAGGAAATTCTTACAAAGTCATCTTAATTGGATACCAAACTTGCTATCAAGGAGCAAGTAAGCCTTTGATCACATAGTCAAGGATAATTAAATGTAGCTCTAAAAAATATATTCCATGTAAATAATCTTTCTACCCACCAAAAAATTAAAAAAATAAAAATAAAAATTAGAATATGTCTGAATTATACAAGGACATAAACTCTTTAATTTGTATTGTATTTTGTAAGAGTTTTTAGCAGTAAGAGTTGAAAATTTAAGTTATTTCCCTCTTTAATTTGTATTGCATTTGGAAAAGTTCTTGAAGTATATGGGTTGAATATTTTAAGTTATATCATGTTGTATACAAAATTTATCATACAAAACTGATATTTCATGATAATTAAAATTTATAATTATCATGAAAAATTCGTTTTGCACATTTATAATAATTATTCACCGGATTTTTTTAATAAAATATAATTAATATAAGTATATAAATATTATGATTAAATTTATTTCATTCAAATAATCGAATTTGTTCATTGATATATATTTACATTTTTAATTAAGTTTATTTTCTTGTAGTGTTTCTAATGAAAATGATCGTTATATTTTAACTATTAATATATACTATTAGATTTATTTGTTGTACTCAAATGATAATTTTTATATAAGAATCAGATGGTGAGTGATCTTAATATAATATTTATATCCAGACGTCCAAACTAGATGATAATTGATTAAACTGGTAAATATGTATTTTGTATATATTGACTTGTGATATTCCTTGTATCGTAGACTTCGTCAAACTGTTTTAATTTTTTTTTTTTTTTTTAAATAAAAAAGATACCATATGTTGGTGTAAAAAATTTCTAAAAGTATTTACGTTTGCCAAAACAACATTAACACTTTGCTTAACCATTTCATTCTATTCAAAGAAAAAACTCCATCTCTTTCCTTTGTTTTAACAAATACTTAATCCATGGATGCTGGAATTATTGCTTCGAGTTTGATCCAGAAACTGCAGGATGAACCAAAAGAAGTCGGCCCCATGTTTGAAAAACATATCAACAATCTCCATTTGTTGAAACGATGCTTAAAATACGCAGAGGATCATGAAAGCTTACTCGGCAATTCAGTGAGTGAGCAGAAGATCGGCCGGCTTCTGCAAGCAGTTTACGCGGTGGACGATGCCATGAACACCTTGCTTGTGAGAAAAGAATTGCAGAGGAAGAAAGAAGAGTTGCAAGCTGAAAGAGAAAAATTGCAGAAACAAAGAGAAGAGTTGCATAAGGAGGGAGGAAAATTGAAGAAAAAGAATGAAGAATTGCTGACAAAGAGAGAAAGATTGCTGACAAAGAGAGAGAATAGTCTCAAGGAGGAGTTCAAGCAGCCTTTCCTGAGCTTCTTGTCTTTGTGTGGCCCCAGGGTTTTCACCAACAAGATGAAGAAACTGGAGAACGAAATCACTGCTTTGTGCGAATTCCACCATCCAAAGAAGAGCTTTCAAAATGATATACAAGGCAGTTTTCTCTACAACGATGACTCGAGGTATAGCTTCGAAAACTACGACAGAGGAACAATTTCTGAATCTTATTTAGAAGAGGAAGAAGTTATTGGTTTTGAAGAGGAAATACAGGACTTGATTAAGCGATTAACTGATCAACAATCAACTCATCGACTCATAGTTGTGTTTGGAGAGGGAGGCTCGGGCAAAACAACTTTGGCAAGAAGTATATACAAACACGTCCGCGTAAGGAAGCGATTCACCCATCGCGTCTGGCTTCAGGTTTCTGGTTTGTTCAAAACTAGAGATTTCTTGATTAACATACTGAAACAAATTAATCCAGCCGAGTTCGTGGTGGAAGCAACACTTTCTGAAGAGGAACTCAGGTCAAGGCTCACCAAACTCTTAAACGGTAACAATAATAAGCATCTTATTTTCATTGAAGATGTGGAGACACTTCAAGTTTGGTTAGCTCTCAGAGATGTCCTTTGTTTCTCTAGATCTTCAGATAATAAAATGATTGTAATTACACGAAACACAGATAATGTACCAGTGGGGGATGGTTATTCAACTCTACAAGTTCGCCAATTAAGCGATGAGAAGTCCTGGAATTTGTTTGTAAAGAAGGTACGAATCTCAGAAAAACAGTTGAATGAGTTAGGGTTGATAAAATCAAAAGAACGAATCCTGAAAGTATGTGGTGGTTTACCCTTACAGGTAGTCTTGCTTGGAGGCTTGTTATCTGTCAAAGAGCAAACGTATGATGATTGGTTAGAAGTGATCGAGCGTGCAGAAGCTTATAACGGTAGGGGTATCTTGGCTCTAAGCTATCAAGATCTACCTTCACAGGTGAAACCATGTTTTCTTTATATGATGCTTTTCCCCAGAGGATTTGAGATCCCTGTGAGAAGGTTGTTTCATTTATGGTGTGCTGAGGGATATATGACATCTTTGGATCCTAAGAAAGCCCCTGAAGATCTTGGAGAGATGTACCTTGAAGAACTAGTCTATCGAAACATGATTCAAGTGAGATGGAAGTTAGATGGAAGCCCGAAAACATGTCGAATTGCAAATTCTGTGTATGATGTATTCTGTCAAAAAGCAGCGGATGTAAGATTCCTAAACCATCAGCTCCAGTTATCTGACACCACCCCACAAAAATCCAGATTGGCTTTTCGTAGATTTGCAGCCTACTTGGGCGTCGAGAGCTTCACATTGAAATCATTTAGTCATGCTGAGCACGTACGTTCTTTTGTAGCTTTTGATACGCGAATACGAGGCACAGCTACGATAGAGACAAGTATGTTCAAAAAGATTATAGCTAAAGGAGGGTTGAGAATGGTGAAGGTTCTTGATCTTGAAGGAGTATACAAGCCTACGAAAATACATACTGTTCTAACAAAATTGTTACATTTGAGATACCTAGGCTTGAGAGCAACTTTTATTGAACAACTTCCAGATTCCCTTGGAGAGCTGCCATTTCTGGAGACTTTGGATGTGAAGCACACTCGCGTAACCGATATTTATAGTCGGATATGGAGTGCAAAGGAGTTGCAACATCTTTACTTGAACTGGATAAATGAGGATGATGATGCGGTGGTTAAATTTCTTTCTCCAACATCAATATCAAAACTGCGTACCTTATGGGGGCTTAGCTTGAGAAATGATTTCTTTGTACACAATTTTCTTCGGAAGTTGACAGAGCTCAGAAATTTGGGGCTGGCATGCGATCCAAATTGCGAAGGAAGTATAACTGACTGGGTCCCTACACTTACTCAACTTCAAAGATTGAAGTTGAAATACGTTGGAGATGATCAACATCCAAAACCAAGCCTGGAATTGAAGAAAATGCATTTCGGAAATCATGAAAAGCTGCAGGATCTTTATTTACGAGGTCAATTACAACTTCCAGGTCAATCTAAACTCGAAGATTCTTTCTTTCCTCCAAATCTCAAGACCTTAACTTTGTCGCTATCAAGACTAAGTGAGAATTCAATCCCAGTGCTGGGGGGCTTGCCTCATCTAAACATCCTCAGGCTTTTTGCTGACTCTTACGTGGGGGAAGAATTGGTTTTTCATCCGAAGAGCTTTCCGAAACTCAGAGTCTTAAAACTTTGGAAGCTGATGAATATATGGCTCCTGAACTTCAGGGAAAATTCCATGCCTTGCCTTAGAGAATTAGAAATCAGAAGCTGCAATCGCAACTTACTCATTCTGGGGTTGAAGGATCTGAGCGCTTTGAAAGATATTGAACTTACAAACATGCCGCAACTTTCTTGGCTTGTGCAGCACGAAAATCTGTCTGTCAAAATTAAGAAATGCAGATCCCTCTCATACGTTGGTGAGTGAGTCTTCTCTTCTTTGCGTGTGTATATATTCTTGTTCTTCGAAAATGCTTAGATGTGACAACTGTATCATATCATTTGATTGTTTTATATGTGTTAATTTATTTATGATGTTTATATTATTAACTATTATAAAAGAAATAAAAATAAACGTGTTACACGATTTGATTGAATTTCTTACTTTAATTTGATATTTCTCATGATAATTAGTTTTAATTAGCATTCATTAATACTCACGGCTCGGTTATTGGGAATTTAAAAGTAGTATGGCTAGGCTTTTGGGCATGATACTGGCGACTAGGCTTGGCAACTTAGCATGGCTAGGCTTTGATGCTTAATTCTCCGGCCATCACATACTTCCACCAAACCCCCTCCTACCATCATCAAGCTAAAATCCCATTAGTACAATTAAGAATAACTCAGACAACCACTGTCACTCAACATACAGACAACCAAAAATTATTAGAGCAACACAAAGGACAAACGACGACCACTTGCTTTCATTCAAATTTTGTTTTTAATTAATTGATTTGTTGGGTTTGATTTTAGTTTTAATTGCATATTTGTGCAGTAGTTGAGTGGGAATTGTTTGTTTTGGAATGAATTGGTTTTTTTTTTTTTTTTAAAGCTTCCAACTGATCTCATTGAGCTTTTGTTTATTCAACTTGGGTACTTCGGCATAACACACACACCAGAACACTCTCGAGTGTTTCACTAAAAGACTTTCTTCCACGTTACCCCCCCTCCCAAGTGGTCCCTATCACGTCAAATCCGAACGCTCCAAGGGACTTACGATCCTGAGAGGAGGGTGAAAATTTTTCAAAAACAATTTATAAAACTCTATTCATAAAACATTTAATGACAGCGGTATAATCTCAAAACATAATTCTGAATATGTAAACCTTAGAAAACAGTTTACATAGAATACTTTATCAGAATTCTCTAACATGTACAAGTATAATGGCGATGAACATGCGTCTACGGCCAATCGAAAGCGTATATCTCCCCACATGAAACTCACTCTTACTCAAGCTTATACCCACTGAGTATCCACAATTTCCACCCCAACCTATACCTGCTGGGTAATCACAATTTCCACCCCAACCTATACCCACTGGGTGTTCACAAATTCCACCACTTCGATCAATGCAGCCGTTATAACCACCACTCTAGTACCCTGGGATCTAAATTGTCCCTAATACAGACAACTAACTAGACCAGTTACAGTCTATCCTCGGGATGACACCATCCACAATCTATCCTCGGGATGGCTACAACATCACTGGATAACCATACTCGACCTACAGTCTATCCTTGAGGTGTCATGATGTGGTATCATATAGAGGAATCTCGGCATAGTCTATCATCGGGGCGTCAAGTATCAATATCCCACCTACGGTCTATCCTTAGGGTGTAATCCGACCTTAAGCTCATCAGGCGCCCGTCCTGTCCCAGTAGGATAGTGTATATCGTCATCGTTTAGTCATACAGGTCATCTTAATACACGCTTGAGGCTAATCATATCCCACTCAGGCCAATATCCACCTGGTGTAATCCCGTCAAATCCCACCCAAGGTCTATCCTTGGGGTATCATAATCCACTCAGGCCAATTTTCACTTGGAGTAATCCTGTTAAATCCCACCCACGTTCTATCCTCAAGGTATCAAGTAACAATATCCCTCTGCCTACCCTTGAGGTGGTACCATCCATAGTCTACTCTTGAGGTGGTACCATCCACAGTCTACCTTCAGGATGGTATACTCATCACGCACATGAGATTAAATATGAGTACTAGTTGATGTTTGGAGGGGGACGGATATTAAAAAGGTGGTTACAATCCGAATAAGACTTCCACATTCACACCTTCGAATTTCCTAATCTTCAATGACATAACATCCTTTCATGCAAGTAAATCCGAATACGAGTGTAACGTTCCAAAATACGAACATGTAAAATATAAATTTACCCCATATATTTTTCATTCATTTCAATTAGTCCTAAACATTTCGGATCCTTCGTCAATCCCTTGAACCTTTGAATTCTTGTCAAACCCCTACACTTTTAAATCCTTATAGTTAACCCCCTACCTAAGCTTTAATATTTGCAAAATTGACAATCTACCCCTTGAGGATCCTTCCATTGCAATCCAATTCAAAGCTCAAAAACCCATTCAACATAATTTTGAACCTTATTAATTCAATTTAGCCCACCAATTTAAATAAACCCAACAACTCAACAATTAACTAGGCCTTAAGGTAATGATAGGTCAGCCTAACAATCAAACCCAACCAATTTAATCTAAACCTCCTTAAATTTAGACCAGCGCACCAACTAATTAACCCACCAACACAATCTGTCCACTAATTCAATTAAGCCCACAAATTCAACTAATAAATCTAGTTACCCAAACCAAATAGTTGGGCCTCAATATCTATAGGCCAACCCACTTAAACAATTAACCCATCAATTTCTTAAATAAAACCCAATAGTTCAAACACCCAACTGGGCCTTAATAATAATAACTGGTCCACCTCAACAATAACCCAGCGGCCCAAACCCAATGCTTCTTCACCATAACGTCGAAATTCCTCCCTCGGCGAATTTCTCCTCATAAGACTCCCAGCCATTCTAGATTCTTCACGTCACGGCGAAACGTTTCCTTCTCTACGGCACGACTGCGATTTCACCCAAATTTATGGGTTTCTCTCGACCCAATCATTTCAACATTTCCAACATATTAACAATACCAATATTTCTTCAAAATAACAATGAATACAATGCAAAACAAAATTCCTGCAAGTCAATAATATTAACTTAAAATTTCCAGCATCATTTCACAATAAATCCAACCTATTAATTTCCTTACTACCTGTCTAATTCTCTAGTCAAAACCTCACCTTTGTAATTCATTCAAAGCCAAAACACTCCGAATTATTCAATTCAACAAGCCAGCTCCACCAATTGGCTGGATTTTTCCTTCATTGTTCCAAACAATTTCATTTCACTTCCTTCATTAGATAAACATATTTATACTCCCAAAACAACATGCATATATGTAAGTAAATTCCAGCAACATTTTAATTAAAAAGGAACGGCCGAATGCATGTAAAAAGAAATCCATATCTTTAATATATACTGATAGCTTTCCAAAATATAAATAAACCTTTTCATAGGCCAAATATATCATAAAAACCAATTTAGGGCAGTAAGCGAAATGTGTGAATTAACTCATTCAAACATTAATTTGAAAAACATGAATTTGTTTATGCAATTACTAGTCCGCTCACCTCATAGATAGGCTAAACTTTGATCAAGCTTCAACAGTTGCCTTTTTCAAATCTCTAGCTCTAAAATGGCAAGATTTGCTTAGCTCTACTCCTTTTTCACTTGATTCATTTCATCTCCTCCATTTCTCTCTCACTACCATTTTCGGCTGAAACCCACACCTCCTTTTTTCTTTCTTCATCCCCTCTCTTGTCTCTTTTCCTTTTTCCCCCTTCTGTCTTTCTCTAGTCTTTTCTTATTCTTTCTTATGTCTTTTTCTTCCCCTTTCTTTCTTCCCCGTTTCTTCTCTTCTCCACCACTTCTTTTAATTGATTACTGTTCACCAAAAATATCTTGGTAAAATTCACTTTAGTCATCACTTGTTTTTGGCTATTACACTCTACTCCCTCAAAGGTTTCACATTCTTGCACTTTATTACCCTTCCAAAAATCACTAAATAAAATTTAATAAATTCACCAAATGTACAGGGTATTACATTCCACCCCATGCTTCTATTGCTATTTTGTTATTCAAGGCCTTGGTCAAAGACATTTTTAGCAAGTAGACAGTAGTATATAATGACTATGCTTAGAATGTTTGTGGTATGCCTTTCTCATGAAGCATGGATTTTGACATCTTCATCACCGTTTGATTCTTCCTTTTGGATACCCCATTTTGTTGTGGTGTACCCAACTGTGAGTTTTCTGTTTAAGCCTTTCTCTTCACAAAATTTGTTGAATTCATTGGACATGTATTCTTTGTCGCTATCACTTTTCAAAACTTTAATGTACTTCAACAAAACTCTTGAATTTCTTGAATGAGTAATATTATACATACATTATTTTCATACAAAATTTCTCATACAACATTATGTGGTAAGATATGATTAGTTAATTTAAAGTTAAAATTAAATTTTTACCCAATCAAATCTTGTCACATAATATTGTATGAGAAATGTTGTATGGGAATGATGTATGTGTAGTATTATTCTTCTTGAATATGCCGAACACCTCTGATTTTTGTCTCATAAAGATCACTTAGGTCATTCTAAAGTAATCATCAATAAATAAAAGAAGGTACCTATTGTCGAAATTTGTAGGAGTGTTCATCGATCCACAAACGTCCATATGAACCAGCTCTAGGACATGCTTTACTCTCCAAGAAACTCCTTTTGGAAATGGTTCCCTATGATGCTTGCCTATGGCACACACCTCACAGACTTCTCCTTGCTCTTTTATCTTGGGAAGACCTTTAACCATGTGTTGATCATGCAAAAGTTCCAAGCTATGAAAATTCAAGTGCCCAAACCTGTTATGTCATAACCACGAGTCACTTATTCCTTGGACTCTTATGGTGGCTTCATTTGCATACTTGACAATCAATGGAAAACTAATATCTTGATTTTAGCCATAACAAGCTTTTATTTTCCTTTGTCATAGATTGTGCACCTTTGACCTTCAAATATTAAAAAATATCCATGATCAATGAGTTGTCCCGCTCTTAGCAAATTTTATTTCAAGTCGGGAACTAATAACAAGTTTGGAATAGTTTTGAAGCCCTTCTTTGTTTGAATTTCAATGGTGCCTTTGCCTTTGAGTTGTATAAGTACACCATTCTCAGGCTTCACTTGAGACTTAATGTTGGAGTCGTGTTCCACGAAGATATTACCGTTTCTAGTCATGTGGTTAGTACAATCGCTATCAAGAAACCAAACTTCTTCTTGCTATTAGAATACATTT